GCAGTGTTTAGCAAAAAGGTTTTGAGCTAACAACAAGCTTCCGTACAAAATTGCGAAAAGCCTTCGGAAAGGGAGGTGTGGTGTTTCCCCTCACAACTTAACAAATGAATGTGTGCACAACGACACCTCATCCATTTAGCTGTACGTGCGACTGATGGCTGTTAGCACTGTGCTCATTTTCACGTGAAACTAACTAGCATTCAGTTGTACGTGTTACGACCGGAAGTGCGCCATGTATTTAGTCTTCCAGACTACTTCCCAAAGAGTACCCCGATTATTAGTAGACAAACAACCAGCAGAATTTTACGTTATGTCCTTAAGACTGCTGAGTTGATTTCTTTTATGCTACAATTTTCCTTTACAGTAGAAAATTAAGTTAAACTTTTTGGTGGCTCATTTGTGATAGGCTAGCTGCGTGATCCGATTAAGGCAACCAGTTTAATTACATACCCGTCATTTGAACTAGCCAACCCTAGCACACCCGGAGCTTATGACATTCTAACTGCAACAACCAAATTTTGCTCTCCATATTCTTTTATATTTTTCTTGCCACGTCTAATTAACGTACCCTCGTATTTGTCTGTTGTCCTTGCTCTGCACCTGAGAGCCGTGATAATCACCTGCCAAAGTGGTAGTGTTTGCGAACCACACCGAATACACTTGTCAAAATGCCACCACTTATATGCTATGAGGGTTGTCAAATCAGACTACCGAGTAGGTTTTGTTGTTTAGCTGGATTGCATGGCAGAATGCTGGTTGGTAAATAGCTGATTTTGAACTACACTGTACGTTAAGCCAGTCGCAACTGAAGCTACTGTCCCGCTCAAGACTTACAAATAAGTTCATATTCACAATATGCTTACGTATGCGCAGATATTGATTTGGTGGTTTCCATAAAGCAGCTTTAGCAAATTGTCGTAAACCTACTCAGTAAATTGAAAGATAGTCTCCAAGCCTATGCAACTGGCACCCGTAGTTTCCAACATCAATTGTTACACAAACTCAAGTAGCTTAACAGCATATGATGCTGAAATCTGTGGTGCTGCTTCACAGCTACTAAAAAGAGGAACGGCGTGGTAATCCACCTTTATACTTAACATTCCCTTCAATGTTTGTTTTCGACAATGAGGCTTCCATGATGTTGGTAAATTGCGCTGCATTAATTGCTACTTATGCGATATTCGTCCTAACAACACGATATCAGTTGGACTCATTGTAATGTTTTGGCGATGACACAAAGCCAAATCCTCACTTAGATCATGACACTGAATGTCAGTCAGATATAAGTTCCGCCCTTCTCCATGGTTTGGTATATTTAAATGGCCGCATGAATGGATTTCAAAGTGACTGTTGCTTTCCTCGTGGGAAAATCATTGAAACTAAATCTATTGCGGCTTTATACAGTTTATTATATATCTTCGCAACTGTATCTGTTCAGTTAATTTTTTCACCTAAAGGATGATCTCTTCGGTCAATAATTTAACAACTATCCGGCATACCACTCTTAACCCGCGTGTCGCTAAATATGTCACAGTCAGAAACCCATGACAGAGTCGTGCAAAATCTTTCCGGAAAATTCCAATATGGATGGCATGTCGGTCTTGGACGTTGTTCAGTCGAGTACCAAATTACCTCTGATCCAGTCTAGAAATATTCTATGACTCTGCGGAAAAATAGTGCGTCTTGCTATTGATATGCACCAAATGTTAATTGAAACGCAAAAATTCCTTTGCCTCTAAAAAGCTGTTTGCATACTGAAATAGAAAACTAGGTCGAGCATCTTACTTGTACTATCACCGAATGCCTAAGAACCATGGAGAAGACGCTACCGATTGTATCTACAAACGTGGTATAACTGGACACCAATGTTTACACCTACACAACAGTCTATATCAGCTTCTACCTGATAATTGTATATATCGCCGACCCACCGAAATCAGACTAAAAATTACGCAGACTATCCGTATTTAACGTTAACGCCGAAACTTGCCCGCTCAGTCTGTACTACCACGGACATAAATAAAAGTGTCGCTTTCAAGACATTGGCGCACTTTTGGCGTCGTGTGGCTATTTCTTCTAGCTGTTTGTCCATGAAGGGCCAGTATACATAACTGCGGGCAAGCGTCTTCATCCGGTTGATTCTAGGATGCACGGCGTGGAACTGTCGAATAAGGCGCACCTGAAGTGCCTTGGGGATGACCAGTCTTTCCGAAAATAGTATGCAGTCGTTTACAATAGAGAGCGAGTGTCTTCTCTGAAAGTACTGTTGCAACTCGGTAGATGGACATGAACGTGGCCAACTTGTTTTGTGAAATCGTGTAACCTTCTTGAGTATTGGGTCCCGAAGTGTTTCGGTTCCTACAGCTTCTGGGGTAACTAGTAGACCGTGCAACGCATTAGTTACCAGAAAATTAACATTAGGTTCAATCTTGACCGAGGCAATGATTGTGTCCTCTTGTTCTAGCTGACGGGCACCAATTAGGCGTGACAGTACATCCGCTTGGCCAATAGAAACTGTCGACTGGCATAGGTTCTCGAAATCATACCCCATTATCGTAAGAGCCCAAATTTGTAGCCGGTTGGCTGTGTAGGCTGGGCTGCCCTTTTTCGAACCCAAGATAGCCAGCAAGGACTTGTGATCTGTCAGAAGCTTGAAGCAGCGGCCGTATAGCATTTTGTGGAGTTGCTTGACTGCGTACACTACGGCCAATGCTTCTTTCTCAATCTGGCTTCAATTTCTCTCGGCCTTCGTAAGTGTCCTGGAGGCATGGGCAATTGCTTTCTGGGATCCACCGGTGTACGTGTGTGCAATTACTGTACCAATCCCAGGACTTGATGCATCTGTGGATAAGACAATCTCTCTGGAACGATCAAAATGCTTCAAAAGCAAGTTTGAGGAAAGCAGTGTCTTGACCCTTTCGAAGGCATTCTGGCATTCTGATGTCCTGTTCCAAGTCTGGCCTTTGGCTAGTAGATTGTTTAATGGGGCACGCAGGCGGTGCATCTCAGGCAAGAATGCGCTGTAGTGGCTGCTGAGACCACAAAAGGAACGCAAGGTCTGTAGAACTGTTGGTGGAGCCATATTGCTAATGACTTCTATGGTTTCCGGCTCTGGACGACGTCCATCCTTTTCTAGGACACAACCGAGGTATTTGATGAGCGGCGTAAAAAATGTGAATTCATGTTCACGGATCCGGAAACCGTACGACTTTATGCAATCAAGCACTTCATCCAGGCGGTTAAATAATGCATCTGGTGTTCCGCCCATCACTATGATATCATCCAGATATGAAGCCGTTCCGGAAACACTCGCTAGCATGGTATCCATCAACTGTTGGAAAATGGCCGGCGCCGACTTTTCACCAAATGTCAAACGGTTGTATTGGAATAACCCAGCATGTGTGTTGATCGTCAACAACTCCCTCGAGAATTCGTCAACATCCAATTGAACATAAGTATCGGTTAGATCAAGCTTAGCAAAGTACTTACCCCCATTCAGCTTTGCAAATATATCTTCTGGTACAGTTATTGGGTACTGGTGGTCGTCCAGCGCGTCGATGAGGTCAGTTGAGAAGTCAGCGCAGACGCGTACCTTTCCATTTGCTTTCTTACTGCGAAAATAGGTGCGGCCCATGATGAGTAGTTGATGGCTGTGATGACTCCGGTACATTTCGGTCGATCGAGTTCTTGATCAACGGTTGACATGGCGGCATTTGGTACCGGTCTTTTAGTTTTAAACACTGGTTTAGCGACTGGCTGCAAGTTCAGCGTTGCGTTGAATTTCTTACAATGGCCCAAGCCATCCTAAAAGACAGAGGCAAATTTTCGCTTCGGGGTACGTGTCATGTCTTTGACGGACTGTGAAGATGGGTCTGGACTTGCTTGAACTCGGTTGCAGATCTGATTCAAGGGAACATCGAGAAGTTTCCACTTTGCAATCCAGTCGAGGCCAAGACGATTCAAATTTGGCCGGTCTTAAAATGTAGACATGGATAAGACCCAGAGCGTGAGAGCTCTCTTCACGATTCATTGCATGAAGACAACTCGGACAGTACCGTAGCTAGAAGTACGAGGGCGTGGCCATCTAACAGTTGAGACTACGGCATCGAGGGAGAGCTAACTAAGTACACAGGAACAGCTTCGGTTCATGCAAATCTTCGAACACTGAAGCACATCGCGACACGATATGCACTCAAGATGCCAGGACAACGTACTGGAGACCTTCACGAGACTGGAGCCGCGCATTCTCCGGAACGACTGACTTCGTATACACAATCCATGTGACACATCCTGCTCCAAGGGTACGTAATTGTGGACGTGGGGGGGACGGGGAGGGCGGGGGCCCGAGGGGGGGGGGCGGGGGGGTGGCAGAACTCGAGCTGCAATTTCTGGCTAGCGAGATCGAGTGGTTCTGTAGAGACAGGGGCCAGCTGTAGTTACACTTGCCAGATCCCATATAGCATCTGCTTGGGCCGAAGATCAGCTCGTCGTCTCGGTTTCACAACAACCCGCTTTGGAACGCGGTGACTATGGAGGGTGAAGGACAAGTAAGTCTGTCAACCCTATTGAGTTTACTCAGTAAACCTGACACTCAGTAAGGATCTAGGCCCGCAGCTCAGCTTTCTAGTTTATGACGCACAATTAATGTAGCTCATACTATCTCTATTTCGATGGCGTGATTCTGCGGCCTGAGCTACAGGGGAGTCTGAGACAGGTTAGCTCTGCAGTATCTTCTTCTTACTGCACCTCGATCTAAGGCCAGGCAGAGGCCTGTACTAGAGGTCACAGTGTTCTGAGGAGTAGCTGGAGGGGTATTCATATACACGGGAAGGGGTCGGTATGAGGCTGGCGACACGGCCGAGACATGAGGTGCCAGACGCCACAGCCAAGGCGACGCACACCAGAGCTGTCAAGCAGATTCGCATATATAAAAGCTTTGCTGTATACACTCAACACTACAACCACCAAGAACGTGCTGGCCCGTGTGTACTATTTTGGCGATGACAAACCATCTTGAAAGGAAAGGCAAGTTAGTGCGTCTTGCCCCGAGTTGTCTCATGCACTAGTCGCGGCTGTTGTCGCAGACTCTCAAGTGTCGAATGTGTGTCATCGACAGACGGCTTGTAGAGTCAAATTAGTGACTCTTGGCCTATGATAGCGATTACACCTTTATTGGTGGCGATGTCATAAACTCTCGACAATTCACACAGTGAGTGACGGGGCACAACTCCCACCTATGGGACCACATGTCGATCAGTTTTATTCATCCTTGGACGTCCTCGGGCGAGCGCCAGTTTGACACAATCTAGAGCGCATCTACGCGCGGTGAGGCGGAGTTCTAGCGCAGACTGTGCCGTGTTACAGGGTATGTCGAAGCTCACACATTTGCGCAGCGCGCACTTGCCTAGCTACTCAGGACTTAGAACACACAAACACAAATGTCGCATCGTAGATCTGATCATACCAATGTCAGGCGAGGGTGCAGTCATCAATGTGATATATATACGCTGACGATAGCTTGACAGCACTACCACGAGTGGACAGCCAAACGCAGCGCACTTACCTTAGGGTGAGTCGGCGTTGCCTGCCGGGAGTTAAAAAGTCGGCGTGACAAGTCTTCGCAAGACAGGCGAGTACCGTTCAACACGAGCGCAGCAGCTGCAAAGTACAGCGCTATACTGAGTCGCTGCATTGGGCGGTAGAGGGTATCACTGGCAAAGCGCGTCCGTATCCTCGTTCTTGCAGTGAGAGTGCGTGTGGGGGGGGGGGGGGGGGGGGGGGGGGGGGGGGGGGGGGGGGGGGGGGGGGGGGGGGGGGGGGGGGTGGGGGGGGGGGGGGGGTGGGGGGGGGGGGGGGGGGGGTGGGGGGGGGGGGGGGGGGGGGGGGGGGGGGGGGGGTGGGGGGGGGGGGGGGGGGGGGGGGGCGGGGAGGGGGGGGGGGGGGGGGGGGGGGGGGGGGGGGGGGGGGGGGGGGGGGGGGGGGGGGGGGGGGGGGGGGGGGGGGGGGGGGGGGGGGGGGGGGGGGGGGGGGGGGGGGGGGGGGGGGGGGGGGGGGGGGGGGGGGGGGGGGGGGGGGGGGGGGGGGGGGGGGGGGGGGGGGGGGGGGGGGGGGGGGGGGGGGGGGGGGGGGGGGGGGGGGGGGGGGGGGGGGGGGGGGGGGGGGGGGGGGGGGGGGGGGGGGGGGGGGGGGGGGGGGGGGGGGGGGGGGGGGGAATGAGAGAGGAGAGATATAGAATAGGGAGGAGGGATATACAGAAACATAGACAACACACCAACCACTGCAATGAGTGATGAGTGGGGACATGATGATAGGTAGGATGTGATTGTCATGAGTAAGAGTTGTTAGAGACAAGTAAGGACTAAGTTAAGGGGGTGGAAAGATGAGATAGTGTAGGATAAAGGGGAGGGACAGGTGGGATTGTGAGATTGGATGTGTTAATATGTGGATAGGTGTGATTTAGGAGATGATTTTAGTGCGTTTGGAGAGATAGTGGTTGGGACTAGAAGGGGTGGTTTGTTATGACATTATGTTATTGTATAGGAGGATTTTATAATTTTTATGGGTGTTAGGGGGGACTGTAACATAGGGAGGGTAGACGTTAGAGTGTGCGGAGTCTTTGAGGGGTGTAACATGGGGGAGGGATGTGGTGTGGCCGACTGGGGATGGATGGACAGGTGGTGAGATGTAGAAAGGGGAACAGTAGGAGATGGAATTGATTTTTAAGGAGGGAGAGAGGGATGTTGTGTATAGGGGGCGGATGGGGTAGTATCAAGGGGGAAGCAATAGTTGGGGAGGTGGAGGGATCTGATTATAGGGTCGGGAGTTATGTGTGGTGGTATTCTAAGATGTAGGGGATTAGGGAGGGGGAATGAGTAGGGTGATAAGTTATGCGGTTGGAGGTGCTGAGTTAATGGTTCATGATTGTATGCACATTGAGGGTATGTTGGTTATGGGGTAGGGACATATGTGAGGGAAACTGTGTGTATCTATTACGGTGGGAGCGGTTAACATAATGGGGGGGTTAGATTATGACAGGGGATTAGACATTAAGGGGCTGGGGGGGATTAGGGGGGGGGTAGATTTATGTGTATTGGGGAGGGGGGTAGGATGGGGGGACTGGGGAGGTATGGTTATTGTGGTAGTAATAGATGGGCGTAATTTGATCTTGTTGTGAGGGGAGTGGGGGGGGGGGAGGGAGGGACTTAAGGGGGGGGGTAGCAGCAGGGGGGTCAGAGAGTAATTAGAGGTGTGGGATGTGTGGGTTAGGGATTTCGTGGGGGGAGTCGGTGGGCAGGGGAGGTGGACACAGGGGGAGTAGGGGGGAGGTGTGGGGGGGGGGGGTGGAGGGGGGTGGGGGGGGTGGGGGGGGGGTGATCGGGAGGGGGGGGGGGGGGGTGAGGAGGGGGGGGGGGGGGGGGGTGGGGTAGGGGGGGGGTGGGGGGGGGGAGGGGTGGGGGGGGAGGGGGGGGGGGGGGGGGGGGGGAGTTGGGGGGGGGGGGGGGGGGGGGGGGGGGTGGGGGGGGGGGGGGGGGGGGGGGGGGGGGGGGGGGGGGGGGGGGGGGGGGGGGGGGGGGGGGGGGGGGGGGGGGGGGGGGGGGGGGGGGTGGGGGGGGGGGGGGGGGGGGGGGGGGGGGGGGGGGGGGGGGGGGGGGGGGGGGGGGGGGGGGGGGGGGGGGGGGGGGGGGGGGGGGGGGGGGGGGGGGGGGGGGTGGGGGGGGGGGGGGGGGGGGGGGGGGGGGGGGGGGGGGGGGGGTGGGGGGGGGGGGGGGGGGGGGGGGGGGGGGGGGGGGGGGGGGGGGGGGGGGGGGGGGGGGGGGGGGGGGGGGGGGGGGGGGGGGGGGGGGGGGGGGGGGGGGGGTGGGGGGGGGGGGGGGGGGGGGGTGGGGGGGGGGGGGGGGGGGGGGGGGGGGGGGGGGGGGGGGGGGGGGGGGGGGGGGGGGGGGGGGGGGGGGGGGGGGGGGGGGGGGGGGGGGGGGGGGGGGGGGGGGGGGGTGGGGGGGGGGGGGGGGGGGGGGGGGGGGGGGGGGGGGGGGGGGGGGGGGGGTGGGGGGGGGGGGGGGGGGGGGGGGGGGGGGTGGGGGGGGGGGGGGGGTGGGGGGGGGGGGGGGGGGGGGGGGGGGGGGGGGGGTGGGGGGGGGGGGGGGGGGGGGGGGTGGGGGGGGGGGGGGGGGGGGGGGGGGGGGTGGGGGGGGGGGGGGGGGGGGGGGGGGGGGGGTGGGGGGGGGGGGGGGGGGGGGGGGGGGGGGGGGTGGGGGGGGGGGGGGGGGGGGGGTGGGGGGGGGGGGGGGGGGGGGGGGGGGGGGGGGGGGGGGGGGGGGGGGGGGGTGGGGGGGGGGGGGGGGGGGGGGGGGGGGGGGGGGGGGGGGGGGGGGGGGGGGGGGGGGGGGGGGGGGGGGGGGGGGGGGGGGGGGGGGGGGGGGGGGGGGGGGGGGGGGGGGGGGGGGGGGGGGGGGGGGGGGGGGGGGGGGGGGGGGGGGGGGGGGGGGGGGTGGGGGGGGGGGGGGGGGGGGGGGGGGGGGGGGGGGGGGGGGGGGGGGGGGGGGGGGGGGGGGGGGGGGGGGGGGGGGGGGGGGGGGGGGGGGGGGGGGGGGGGGGGGGGGGGGGGGGGGGGGGGGGGGGGGGGGGGGGGGGGGGGGGGGGGGGGGGGGGGGGGGGGGGGGGGGGGGGGGGGGGGGGGGGGGGGGGGGGGGGGGGGGGGGGGGGGGGGGGTGGGGGGGGGGGGGGGGGGTGGGGGGGGGGGGGGGGGGGGGGGGGGGGGGGGGGGGGGGGGGGGGGGGGGGGGGGGGGGGGGGGGGGGGTGGGGGGGGGGGGGGGGGGGGGGGGGGGGTGGGGGGGGGGGGGGGGGGGGGGGGGGGGGGGGGGGGGGGGGGGGGGGGGGGGGGGGGGGGGGGTGGGGGGGGGGGGGGGGGGGGGGGGGGGGGGGGGGGGGGGGGGGGGGGGGGGGGGGGGTGGGGGGGGGGGGGGGGGGGGGGGGGGGGGGGGGTGGGGGGGGGGGGGGGGGGGGGGGGGGGGGGGGGGGGGGGGGGGGGGGGGGGGGGGGGGGGGGGGGGGGGGGGGGGGGGGGGGGGGTGGGGGGGGGGGGTGGGGAGGGGTGGGGGGGGGGGTGGTGGGGGGGGGGGGGGGGTGGGGGGGGGGGGTGGGGGGGGGGGGGGGGGGGGTGTGGGGGGGGGGGGGGGGAGGGTGGGGGGGGGGGTGGGGGGGTGGGGGGGGGGGGGTGGGGGGGGGGGGGGGGGTGGGGGGGGGGGGGTGGGGGGGGGGGGGGGGGGGGGGGGGGGGGGGTGGGTGGGTGGGGGGGGGGGGGGGGGGTGGGGGGGGGGGGGGAGGTATGATTAATGGGTTATTATTGGGTGAGTGTTGGAGGGTAGAATTAGCGATGGATGATGTAGTGGTTTGTATTGATTTATATGGGCTTCCCCGCTAGGTGGTTGGGTGGGCCTTGGAATAAGCGCGCACAAGGCTTCGTCGTCGGCGTCCGCCAAGACGCATCCGCAGGTCAGTCACAATGCTTGGTCGGTGACCTCATATGTATCCACAAATCCATTGTCCAATTCTGTAACGCAAGGGCGCTTCCAGCGGTAACTAAGAGCAAGGAAATCTAGATTTGAGTCTAAAATAAAGGGTTCGATGGCTGTTTGGCGCCAAGTCTCCTTAAGGTGGTGCTGTGTCCCGAATTATTACACTCCGCAAGAAATAAGTAGAGAAGTACCCAAAGTGAAGTAAACATGCTCAACCTTATCAGGACTAAGGTCCTAACACACAGTGTGGCGGTCAGGGATGTGAGTTCTCATGCTATAATGGTCCAAAGGAGGGATCATAACACCACTAGTATCCGAGTCTATTCTGCAGCAAAGAAGACAGTATTCAGGTGGGGCGATCACCAGTAAACACAGCTATGCTACAAAGTGAAACTTTTTAGAAATCCTACTGGTTGAACAAGTTTCGCTAGGCTATAGGGGGGAGGGGGGGTGGCGAACGGAGGTTGAGATTAGTGGGGTGGGGGGGTGTTGGGGGGGGGGGGGGCCGCCGATGGACGCTACTCATATCTCATATGGATGGGGGGGGGGGGTGGAGGTTTATGCGGCGGGGGGTGGGGGGGCAGAGGGGGTGGGGTCACCGGGTTGGTAGGCTCTGGGGATCGAAGGGTAAGCGACAGGGGACGTGGGGGCGTAATATGGTATAAGGATGTCGAGGGAGGCAAGTATAATGGGGTATGTGATTAGGGGGGGTGGAAGTGGAGGTTTTAATTGTAAAAGTTGGGTGTGATTATAAGGGGAGAAGAGAATGTGTGTAGAATTGGGGGATGTGGGGGGTTAGGAGTTGGGTGTAGAAGTGAGTAATATGGTGAGGGTTTAGGGAGGGAGGGGAAGTTTAATTGTAGGTATTATGGGGGGTTTAGGATTGGTTGAGGGTGTGTGGGTGGGGTTCGCGGACCGCTTTACGGGGTGGGCTACTTTTGTACACTTGGATCTCCATGGTATCGTTGGGAGGGAGTTAGGGCGGGCGGGACCCGTTCAATCTGCAATTTTTTCATTTTACCTCGGTACTGAGGGAAATCAGCCAGGGGCTGGCAGTTACGGGTTAGTTATGCATGGGCCGTGCAAGGAACACTGCACAACCTAAGCTGTATATCAATGGCTGCTACCAAGACATTTTTTGTGGGGGGGGGGGGGGGTGGGGGCGACTGTTATTGCGAGGAATCACGGGGAGATTTGTCCCAGTGAGGTTGGTAGATCAACCTAAAGAACAAAACCAATACGAAACCTGACCGACAAAACACATAGAAAAATAACATACGAAAAGAACGGAAAAAACAAAACAAAAAAACAACGCCAAAAGACAGCAAGTACAAAAAACTACCAAAAAGAAGGGGGGGGGGGGGGGGGGGGGTGGTTGGGGGGGGGGGGGGTGTGTAAAAAAAAGATAAAGAAAACGAAAAGAAAGCAAAAAGCTGAAAAAGTAAGTTCTACGTTGGCTATTTCTATCACAGTTGATGACAAAACACAAACCTAAGAGGATTCCATAGTGTGGCGGTGACACGACATTAGTGAGTGTTCATTTGTCACCACCCATGGGCGACTTTGTTAATAATTCGCTTCAGGGTCAACTGGTATGGCGTTATGTAAAGTTCATAGGAACCTATGTATTTATATAGGATAATTAGGCTTTACTTCCAAATGGTCGCCTATTACGTGTTGAGAGCTTGACATTGGCTTCTCCGAATGGCCCCATGTGAAAGCACAGTCAATGCAGGTGGAACCTCCCTATAACATCCGTGGACTGGAATGCTATCCTCATGAAATCGGCATTACTCAACAAAGTAATTACCTAAAGGGGCTACAATGAAACGCAGTTTATACACGACCCTTCGTCCTTCTAGAAAAAAACGCAAAGCGGGGCACACGCATTTTACTCTGGTACTTCAGGTGAGTACTTGGAACAGACAACAAACACCGTTGTCCTCACCCACACTGGCGTTCCTACAATGTGTTTGATAATCATTTAAAAAGGCAACCCGCGCCCACTAAACTTGCTATGGACCACTGTTTCCAGCTAGTCTTAGAAGCAGTCATTTGTGCACGCCGTGACACAGGTTGTTATTGACTTGGCAACTACTCGGAAATATTTTGTCATTGGAGGAGTAGGTAATTCCGGAGGCCATGTTGACGGGAAGAAAAATTGCTCCAAACCTTATGCATACAATGCGTATGCAAGTGCTTGTTGGTCAGGTCATATCTGGAAAGGTAGGCGCCACTTGGTATTTCAAGATTCCTCAGTCACATGGGAAATAAAGCGTAAATAATTGTTTGAAACGCAGGACTGCACATGGATCTTAGGACCTTTAAATTAACGGCAGAGTCACAATGGACACCGAAGCGGTAACTGTTCACATATATGGCGCCTATAGGTGTAGCAGACGAAAGAAACACTTACTAACGTCGTGCTACCATCACACGGGAATCCTCCAATTTGGAACAATGGTGACAGAATCATTAATTCTCCTCACTATACACGAACTAGCCCATAGCATTATACATTGCGTCGACTACATCAGCAGTACGTATGTTAATACTATTCACTATGATTTTGCGGCCAACTAAAACAACACATCAAGGAGAAATTGTAGCTGTAAATGCCTTAAAATGTCACGCGCGAACAAGTGCTATATTTCCCTCTTTCATACGAATGCTGGATTGTTTCTGATTACTTCCGTCTGCCTAAACCACTCACCTGCATTTCCTGACGAAATCTCACACGTAAAGATTTCTCCAGTTTCCTCGCAGTGGCAAGGTTACACTATGCATACCATATCCCGTGTGACCAGATAGGTAAGAGAGCAAGAATGTAACCGTACAGACATCACGTAAGCCTATAACGCTCTCTTCCAACAGCCTGCAAGTGTTGCAGCCCTAACACAAAAAACAACCAATCCGCTGCTTTTTACCCACTCCACATGGAAGTTGAAACCCTGCGTACACCAGATTGGCAACATGACAACCAAGTATAATGCCGCCGATTGGCTGGTCCATTCCTCCACACAATAGCAGTGTTCTGATACACCGATTGCGGTCAACAGATAGACGGCCGACTAACCGAGTCAATTGTCCAGTGAACCTGCAAGCCTGTTATCCGCCTACACGAGGTTTTAAACAATATGACAATTGTTCTAAGGTGTGCTTTTATTTACAATCACCGGCATATTTCCCTGCCGCACCAATGTGCGCCTGAAGCAAAGCCGAGGCGTTCTATATATAAATAAATAAATAAATAAATGATATATTTCTCGACATGCGAGACACAGGCAGACTACGAGCCTGATCATGTGGTACAACAAAGTCGGGTAGTGCACAAATAAAAGTGGGTGGACGTACAGTAACGTGAAATGCTAGATTTTTGTCCGACGTTGTTCGATTCAGATTGTACAAGTTTCACTGGTAACTGACAACCTCAGGAATATACATGTTTTTTACAGAAAAGGAGAAGAATTTTCGGAGGAAATAGTAAGATAGCTCCAGCAGTTGTCGGAGATCAAAATGGGAAAATTGGTGATGCGAAATAATTTTGTATGGTACTGGGAAATGTTGTATGTACGCATGGTATTTTTCAGGGAGGGAGAGAAGACTGTACGCAAAGTAAAGTAAGTTAACCGTCGTTCCAACTGTTCAGCTGTGTGCGGTAAGAGGAGAAGCTGATTTCGATGAGGGGATTTGTTCAGAGTGAACGTAAGCGTGGAAGATCATGGTAGGTTTTCGGAAGGTGTTATCAAATGGATTCAGTCCAGAAGCAGAAGGATTAAATCAACATTGATTTCGCTGAGCACGTAACACAGCAGCTCGTACCTAGGGGAGGGGTCCAGGGGAAAAGATAAGTAGAAGATAATTAGCATTGCAGAACAAACGCAAAATAATTTGCTCGAGAGGAACTCTAGGGCACATTTCCGTCTTGGTGAGTGTGAACTTCATTGTTAATCAGGATATTTTTGCCTTTAGAAAACACGTTATTGCTACTGATAAATTTGGGGAGGGCAGTAAGATCGGGCAACAGGAGAATAAAAAGATCCCCTGATATTGATACTATATCCATCTTGCTCCTATTTCGTATGGGGATTCACTTGTCAAGGTAGGTTGCAATATACCGATCGCTGTTTCGACGTTTAGAAAGGAATGTATAACGTGTCGGAACTTCATCCCTGACTGGATTGCACGTATCTCAGATGGAAGCCTGTTCCACAATATGGAGTATCGATTTAGGAAAAAGTTGTCAGACAGTTTCGTTCGTGATCTTTTCACTTTTACTTTATTGTGATTGTTATTTCGGGTGCGATAATTTGATAATTCTGCTCGTTGTACCGATGGGCGTGAAGAATGTATTTTTTGGGTAATTGTGTCAAAGAAGATGAAAAGGTTAAGTTTCATTCTTCGCAGCCACAGTGGATCAAGTTTTAAGGCAACGCAACGATCCATGTAAGATAGGGTGGTGGAATAGCCTAGAAGACGCTTAGTAAATGATCGTTGAACACGTTCCAATGCCATACGATCACTCACTCTAGAATTACAGTAGGTGATGGAGCCATATTCAAGCAGCGGGCGCGTTTTTATTCTATACATGGTGTTAATGGATTCTTTTAAGTTAAATGTTTTGAACAAAAGCCCAATGCTTCGGCGGGCTTGAGCTGCGGTGTGTCCTGCGTGTTCGGAAAAGTTAAGGGTGCTCGAGTAGTGGATCCCTAGGTCACGGATGGTGTGGCAGTGAGACAATGGTTTACCATCTATAGTTAGCGAACCTGGTGTGATGTCACATCTGTAGGATACCACGTGGCATTTATCAGTAGAGAATGTCATCATCCATT